TTTTGAGATGGAGTCTTACTCTGCCACCCAGGCTGGAGTGCAGTGATGCAATCTTGGCTCATTGCAACCTCCGCCTCCCAGGTTCAAGTAATTCTCCTGCCCCAGCCTCCCTAGTAGCTGGGATTACAGGTGCCTGCCACCAGACCCAGCTAATTTTTGTGTTTTTAGTAGAGACGGGGTTTCCCCACGCTGGTCAGGCTGGTCTTGAACTGCCTACCGCAGGTGGTCCACCTGTCTTAGCCTTCCAAAGTGCTGGGATTACAGGTGTGAGCCACCACACCCAGCCCAGATTTTATGTGTGTGTAGTGTGTGTGTGTAGTGTGTGTGCATGTGTGTGTGTGTAAATTGTTTAAACAGAAGTATTTTTTTGCTCTGTGTTCTTTTAAAAATTACTTCCAATGCAAAGGAAAAAAAAAAGAAAAGAAAAAAAATTACTAAGCAATTTGAGTCATCTGAGCAATAAAAATTATTTTTATGACAATTACATGCCAAAAGGTTCTTCAGACATTTAATGCTGAATCTAGATTGCAAATAAATAAGTTGTGCGTCATTGTTCATGTTTCCTCCTGGTGGAGCTCATACTGTAACTCAGTCATTTATTTTACTGTGTAATTAGAGTAAATATATTTGGTATTTTAATTGATTTTTGAAAACTGTTAAAACAAGTGTTCTTTTCTCATTTTCTCCCAAAGCTTTCTAAGAGTTCACCTAGTAAATCCAGTAGTGGTACTGCTAGTAATATTATGGAACAGCCAAGTCTTTCACCATCTTCATCAGTATTCAGTCAGCATGCAATTGGTTCCAGTGTAGAAGTACAAAAAGATAACGTATCAAACCAGGATCCTGCATGTAATATGAAAATAAGTGATGAACCATGTCACCCAAAATGTACATCCAAAGTACAGAAAGTTAAAGGTAAATCGCGAAGTATTAAAAAATCTTGTGCAGATTTTCAGTGTTTGGAAAACAGTAAAAAAGATGTGACATTCTGTTATTCATGCCAGTTGTTCTGCCAAAAATATTTTAGCTGTGAAAGAGAGTCATTTGCAACCCACGGAACTTCAAATTGGAAAAAAACTCTGGAAAAATTCAGAAAGCATGAAAAAAGTGAAATGCATTTGAAGTCATTGGAATTTTGGAGAGAATACCAGTTTTGTGATGGAGCTATCAGTGATGATTTATCTGTTCATTCAAAACAGATTGAGGGAAATAAAAAGTACCTAAAGCTTATAATTGAAAATGTTTTATTTCTTGGAAAGCAGTGTTTACCCTTAAGAGGAAATGACCTGTCTATTTCATCTGTCAATAAAGGCAATTTTTTAGAATTGTTAGAAATCAGAGCAAAAGATAAAGGAGAAGAAATATTTCGACTTATGAATTCACAAGTTGACTTCTATAATAGCACACAAATTCAAAGTGATATTATTGAAATAATAAAGACTGAAATATTGCAGGATATTGTGAATGAGATCAATGACTCCCCAGCGTTTTCAATAATATGTGATGAGACAACCAATAGTGCCATGAAAGAACAGCTTTCAATTTGTGTAAGATACCCACAAAAATCATCAAACACTATCTTAATTAAGGAAAGATTCTTAGGTTTTGTTGATACTGAGGAGATAACTGGAACCCATTTATATAGGACTATCATAACTTATCTGCAGCAAATTGGGGTTGATATGGATAAAATACATGGCCAGGCCTATGATAGCACCACTAATTTGAGGATAAAATTTAATAAAATTGCAGCAGAATTCAAGAAAGGAGAACCAAGAGCTTTATACATACACTGTTATGCCCACTTTTTGGATTTAGCAATAATTAGATTTTGTAAAGAAGTAAAAGAACTCCGAGGTGCTCTAAAAACTCTCAGTTCTTTGTTCAACACTATTCGTATGTCTGGGGAAATGTTGGCAAATTTTCGAAACATTTGTAGGCTAAGTCAAAACAAAACATGCAAGAAACATATATCACAATCGTGTTGGACAGTCCATGATCATATATTACTATCTGTGATTGACGGTCTTCCAGAGATTATTGAAACATTGGAAGTTATAGCAAGCCATTCTTCAAATACAAGTTTTGCTGATGAATTGAGTGATTTGCTGACATTGGTTTCCAAATTTGAATTTGTCTTTTGTTTGAAATTTCTGTATCGAGTGCTAAGTGTTACAGGAATTCTTTCCAAAGAGCTTCAAAATAAAACCATAGACATTTTTTCTTTGTCTTCAAAAATAGAAGCAATTTTGGAATGTTTATCATCTGAAAGAAATGATGTATATTTTAAAACAATCTGGGATGGAACAGAGGAGATATGTCAAAAAATAACCTGTAAAGGTTTTAAAGTTGAAAAACCTTCTCTTCAGAAAAGAAGAAAAATTCAGAAATCAGTAGATCTTGGCAATTCAGATAATATGTTTTTTCCTACTTCAACAGAAGAACAATATAAAATTAATATCTATTACCAAGGATTAGATACTGTATTACAAAATTTAAAATTATGTTTTTCAGAGTTTGATTATTGCAAAATAAAGCAAATTTCAGAACTGTTATTTAAATGGAATGAACCATTAAATGAAACAACAGCAAAACATGTTCAGGAATTTTATAAACTTGATGAGGACATTATCCCAGAACTTAGATTTTATCGACATTATGCAAAACTCAACTTTGTCATAGATAATAATTGCATAAACTTCATCAGCCTTGGCTATTTGTTTATTCAGCATGGTCTTCACAATAATATTCCTTGCCTCTCAAAGCTATTATATATTGCTTTGTCTTGGCCAATTACTTCAGCAAGTACTGAAAACTCATTTTCTACCCTGCCACGTCTCAAAACATATTTATGTAATACCATGGGACAAGAGAAGCTTACTGGCCCAGCCCTAATGGCTGTTGAGCAGGAATTGGTAAATAAACTAATGGAGCCTGAAAGACTCGATGAAATTGTGGAAAAGTTTATCAGTCAGATGAAAGAAATATAATACTTGCTCATTTGAACTTAACTAAGAGACTTGTATTTCTGTTGGAATGTTTTTATTTCAAAATTGTTCAAAATTCAAAAACCATAGAATGATAAACAGTGAAGTCTCCTTCCCTCCTTTGGAACTCATTTTCTCTTCCTGAAAAGTGTTATCTATTCCCTAAGTATCCCTCTAGAGGTATTTTTCCTAAGTGATATTATATAGTGTACACTGTTCTTCAGCATGTCTTTTCCGTGTAACATTTTTGAGATTGTCTCATGTCATTACATGAAGAGTTTCTTGATTCTTTGTCTATAACTGCAGATTTTGTATGAAAAATGTAGGGCCTACCATAATTGAGCAGTCCCTACTTACATTTTTTTTTTCTAACCTTTGCTATTATAAATAATGATTCATTTTATAACCTTGTATGTGGGTCATATTGTACCATGAGTAAGTTACTCTATGCTGGAAATCTAAAATTAGAATTCCTGGGTCAAGATATGTGCATTTTTACTTTTGAGAGATATTGGCAAGTTGTCATCTATAAGGATTGTGCCAATTTGCAGCCCCACCCACAATGCATGAGAGTGCCTATTAAATCTTTATCAGTGTTATCAAATGTTTTGATCTTTCCCAATCTGTTAGTTTAAAAATGGCATTTTAATACCAGTGGAATTTTTTATATTCACTTAAGAATAAGGTTGGGGACTGGGTGTGGTGACTCACACTTATAATCTCGGCTCTTTGAGGGCCTACACAGAAAGGAAGGTCACTTGAGGCCATGAGTTCAAGATCAGACTGGCAACATATTTAGACCCCATCACTACAATTTTTTTTTTTTTTAATTAGCAAGGTGTGGTGGTGCATACCTGAAGTCCCAGCTACTTGGGAGACTGAGGCGAGTGGATTGCTGAAGCCCAGAAATTCAGGGCTGTATGAGCCATGATCTCGCCACTATACTCCAGAGCCTAGGCAACAGAGTGAGACCTTATCTCTTTAAAGTAAACAAAAATAAAGTTGGATATCTTTGTTTGAGCCATATGTATTTACTTTTTTGTAAACTGTCCTGTTTAAACATTAAAATAATTGCTGTGTTTTTGGTTTATACATCTCAGCTGGATGACACAACAAATTATTAGGCTACTTTATGCCTGTCTCCTTTGTTCAGGTGTGCTCTCATGGCAAGACTGTCAGGGAGTTGCACCCTTCCTGCAGGAAGTAAACTAGCCCTGCTGAGTGAAAAAAAAATTATGTTTATCACCAAGACGTACTTTATAGCCTAGGCTATGGTGTATCTTAGTTAATTTTTATCTGCCTTTTAAAATAATATGTGTTCTGCTGTTCGGTGGAGTAATCTATAAATATCAATTACGCCAGCATGGTAGTTCACGCCTGTAATCCCCATGCTTTGGGAAGCTGAGGCTGGAAAAATCACTTGAGGCTAGGAGTTCAAGACCAGCCTGAGCAATATAGTGAGATCCTGTCTCTACCAAAAAACAAACTTGGCATGGTGGCATGTATTTGTATTCCCAGCTACTTGGCAGGCTGAGCTGGGAGGATCACTTGAGCCCAGGAGTTTGAGGTTACAGTGAGCTATAATCATACCACTGAACTCCAGCCTGGGTGACAGTGGAAGAATCAGTCTCTAGGAAAAAAAAAATATATATATATATATAATTTTTTGAGACAGAGTCTTGGCCTGTCACTCAGGCTGGAGTGCAATGGCACAATCTTGGCTCACTGCAGCCTCTGCCTCCTGGATTCAAGTGATTCTCCTGCCTTAGCCTACTGAGTAGCTGAGATTACAGGTGCCACCACCATGCCCAGCCAATTTTTGTATTTTTAGTAGAGACGGGGTTTTACTATGTTGGCCACGCTGGTCTCAAACTCCTGACATCAGGTGATCCGCCGCCTCAGTTTCTCAAAGTGCTGGGATTACAGGCGTGAACCACTGTACCCAGCCCCCAAAAAAGTTATAAATAAATATTAACTAGGTAGTGTTCAATTTTCTTATTTCTTGCTGATTTTCTCAATAATTGCATAATGATTATGAAAGGATACTGAAATCTCCAATCTTTTTTTTTTTTTTTT